TACATAACAATAGTCATAGTCATTTTAAAGTTTATATATATTTCCATTGCATCATTTTTTTTGTTCGTAAGAGATATAAAGGAATATTTATTGTTTTTTAGTATATGACCATTAAATTACAATAACACATGTATATGCTTGTGTCTGTGTGTGTGTGGGTGTGTGTGTTTGTGTCTATATAGATAGTAGACTGATAGGCAAGGAGATGGATAGATTGAATGATAAATAAGCAAACAGATAGATAGATAAATAGATAGACTGATGGGCAGAGAGATAGACAAGTAAACAGATAGATCGCACACACACACACACACACACACACACACACACACACACACACACACACACACACACACACACACACACAACACACACACACACACACACACACACACACACACACACACACACACAACACATACTTACATACATACTTATATACATACATTCATTTATTTATATATATATATTATATATATATATATATATATATATATATATATATATATATATATATATATATATATATGTATGTATGTATGTATGTATATTTATCCATACACACACATTTTACATGTGCACCCACTCGTATACTGAATCCACTATACTCTGCTTTTTATCAACAATAATGGAAGACACTGACAAAACAGTGCTGTATTTATTATTTTTTAAAACTCTAAGTGCACAGTATTTTTATAGCCAATTGTGATATGAGGGACAATAAAGAAGATAGAGAAATAATCTATAAGCATAATGATTGTTTGCCCGAAAGACTTTTCCTTGATTGTCTGATTACAAAAAAATGTAATATTGATTACTTTAAGTTAATGATGCCGTGTAGATTATAATGTGACTTTGTAACATTTTTTTTTATATTTGAACATTCTGTTTCTTTATTACTTTTATCTATAGCTGAAATGAAGCTCAGTGATCATACAGTACTTTTGATGAGGATATTAAATTATATGTGGCTTTGTGTATTTTGTCAATGCTTTCAGGCTTTTTTTACATAGTGTGATTGTCAGCAAAATGCATAAAATTTTCTAGAGGTATCCAGCCTGGATGGATATTAGAAGTTTAGTGCTTTAAGTTGAGTTTAATGTTCCCAAATTAACCTGCCATCAAATATGGGATCTTTTTCATTATTGAAAATTATAATTTGTCCTGTCATTTTAAAGTGTTTTATATCTTAAGTAAGATTTTAGGAAAAAAAGAAAAAGAATTTGTCACACAAATATTGATTTGACATAATATCATAGTGTTTCTAACTTTTCCATCAATGTACATAAAGTTGGAAATTCTTCTGAATTGGAAAATCAATTACATTTTGGTTTGCACAATGTTTGTATCAGGAAATTGCATATATGATAAAAAAAAAAAAAAAAAAAAAAAGCTAATTTCAAATTTTGATACTTCTATTGATCAGACAGAAAACTGAACCAAAAGTTCAGATCTAATATCAAAAATCAAAGTGTCAGCAACATGTCTTGAAAAAAATATTGTATCACATCTTTTTGCACTTAAAGATAATAATGATAGAAATTATGATAATGATAATAGTGATAATGATTGTCATAATGATAATAATTAATATTATTATTATTATTATTATTATTATGTAAATAGTATTAATGATAATAATGAGAATGATAATAGTCATGATGATAAAAACAACAATAATAAAAGAAATAACAGGGAGACTTTATGTATGATTTTTTTTTTCTTAAAATAGACTTTCTCAGTATATGAAACACTCAGAAGTACTAATACTTTCGTACTGTAGTTACATAGCGTAGATCATGAAACAGTATTCCAAGCTATAGCAGTGGTAATTGTGTCAATTTATCTTTATGAAACTTCATGAGCATACTGAATAAGGAAGAGTAAAATAGGTTAATTACAGGAGTAACCATTCCCTACCAAAATATTTGCACTGCCATAGAGGACATTATTGTGTTTTGGAAATTGCACAGGACTGTGATTTCAGATGCTCATGACAGATTTTCAGAAATATAGATTGACTTTAGGAGGATAGAATGCACTAAAAATATTTTCTTAGATTTTTCCTAATCTTACTTATATTTTCATAAGGAAAAAATTATCTAAATGTGTGGTTTGTAAAAGCCAATTGGGCAGATATTTTGTAGGCTTTTATGTTGGCATATATGCTGTAACTGTTATATATGTATATATATATTATATATATATATATATATATATATATATATATATATATATATATATATATATATATTTATATATTTATATATATATATGTATATTTATATTATATATATATATATATATTATGTATATATATGTATATAAATATATATGTATATATATATATATATATATATATATATATATATATATATATATATATATATATATATATATATGTATATATATATGTATATATATATATATATATATTATATATATATATATATATATATATATATATGTATATATATATATATATATATATATATATATA